AATTAATGTTATATGTTACAAATATCAGAAACGAAATTACATCCCAAATTACTGCCGCAAAAAGTAACGTGGCAATTTAAAAAATATTTGAAAAAGTAACGGACTACTTTTTAAAGGGACACTGACACCCCCCAAAAAAATTTTTTTATTTTTTGCCAGGCGCTTCATTATGGTGTCGGAGGACTACCCAATTAATATTTTGCAGCAGAGTAGCGTATTTCTTTAATAAAGCCAACAGACGCAACTGCTCGAAACCGAAACCGAAACCCGACGGAGGTCGGAGAAGTGGAGAGAAGAGAGTGACTGGCGGAAGTCACGTGGCTACACCCAACCGTGCGTTTTCTTTTTTTCTCCTCTCCGGTAGCAGACGACACGACATGCGGCGTGCGATGCGGCGTGCGGGAACTGCTTGCCATGTGATTCTTTTGCACCGCTCGTTGTTATGTCCTCCAAGATGAGTGTTTTGTACATTGAGGAGTTGGAGATGAGTAGTGAGTGCCCGTGGTGAATTTCCATGATCGGCTCCAAAAAGAATAAACCCAAGATGTTGCGTGAAGAGCTGGCTCAGATGTCCTGCATCCGAAAAAAAGTGGCATTGTCGAAAGATCAACGGGATCGGGACCAATGGCTGGCTGCAGTTCCTGTAGAACATTTACGGGCACCTCGGAAAGCGGACGCTACCTGATTTATATGCTCCTTGCATTTTGTGGAAAGTGATTACATTTAGTTCGCAGGTGTCAAAACGGAAATCCCATACCGTTTAATTCAGCGAAGTATCGTCCACAAAATTTGTTTGTTATTTTTTTGTTTGTTTCTTCAGTGATGATTGTAAAAAAAAGAAAAAGATATGTAAACATCAAAAAATGTTTGCAAAAAAGAAAAAAATTCACGGGGGATCGAACCCTGTCCTCCCGCGTGTGAAGCGGACGTCTTTCTCATTGAGCTACTGGGTAATCACTTGTCTGATGGATCTCTTTCCTTAGTAATAATTCAGCCGGTAAACTGTAAGTTGGAAAGTTTGCTGTCGATTTTTCTCTAGCAAAAGAACTCCCGGGTCGAAGTCGGGAAGCACCACGCTTTGGGGACATTCGCACCTAGTAAAGAAATCGTACGCGTGCATATTCAACTCGAAGTAGACACGTCGTGCTTGACGTTTGCGCGAGCGTTGTCTTCAGCCACGAGAAGGGAGCGACGGCTCGGCGACGTCTTCGTGCAAATCGGCTTGGTGGCCAGGCGTGTCGTACGGGATGAATACCAATTCTTTTGATCAGTCCCAAATTTCTCTTTTAACGGTAGACAGAATTCGCCGGTACCGCGAACGACAGTTCTGAAATAGAGGTCCCACGCCCGTCGTCCGCTGCCATCGCCGTCCCCGCGAGTCCCACGATACGCGAAACGACGAACGCACAGAATGCTTCCGGTTATCTGTGGAACTTTTTTTTTTTTCAATCAACGTATTTACAGCTTTTTAGAAGCCACAAAAAATGGGTTTCATATTTTTTTTCTATTTTTAATATTGAGTGTGCGCCTTCAGTGACCCACGACTTTGATTAAATTTGGTGGTCGCATCGATACCTTAGAAAACGGCCCGTGACCGCGAAAAAGAGAGTGAGCGAGACTCGAACCGGCCAATTCTTGATCGGCGGTTTTCGGGCGGAAAGAAACCGAATTTCGAGCCGCAAATTCTGTTCTGGGTAGTTGAGCCCTCATATGTCACGTACAACTAACAACCTCGGCGAGCATAAATACCCTGTCAGTGTCCCTTTAAGACTGCCTGCAGGTACACATACACGGTACTCACCTTCCCCACTTCCCTCCCCCCATTATGGTCTGACTGGCTGTCCAGTTACCACGAGGATGGTCAACTGCAGCAAGTTGCTCACGCCCAAGCCGTTCTGGTGGTCTCCACAAGCGCAGGCGCAATTGCGGTGCCGAATAAATAAAGTTTCCTTCTTCAAGACAAGAAAAATCATCTACCAAAACCTCCCGTAGGGAAGAGACTGCTATAATAATAATAAAAAAAATAATAATAATACATTTTATTCATATCATAAACATGTTACATATGCATAGGTTGACCACCTTCCCGCTAGCGAATTGCGGGACACGCTGACCTTGGGGGGAGGGGGGGGGGGGTGTAAGAGAAGAACGGCTATATATTTCGGCTGTGGCAACTGCAAAAAAAAACTTCGTGCGCCGTCGGGCTGATGGAAGTTTGCCATGCTGCCTTTTAACCCGAGACCGGGGCAGATGGAGGAAAATTGTTTTTCCGCCTTCTGCTCCAGTCGCAGGTTAAAAAAAAAAAAACATAATGAAAAAAAACAAGTATTCGAGGAAATTTATCACCACATACCACGAAATGAGGCTCTGCTAGCACATTTGATATCCTGTCTTGTCTGAAAGCATATTATACAACTGCAAATTGTATTGCGGCAATTAACATTTTTAACGCCGTATTAAGCAAAGCCATTTTCCCAGAGAGAATGAAAATTGCTAGGGTGTGCGTGTTGCATAAAGGGGGAGCACCAAATAATCTAAATAATTATCGGCCAATATCGGTTTTATCATTGTTTTCAAAAATATTAGAGAGACTTGTAAACGCAAGACTTACCAGCTTCCTTACAGCCAATACTCTGATCGTAAACCAGCAATATGGGTTTCAAAAAGACAAATCAACCGAAATGACGTTATTGAAAGTAAAAGATAAGATAATCAGCAATATTGAAAATAAAATCTTTACACTCGGAATTTTTTTAGATTTTAAAAAAGCTTTTGACTCGATTAAGCATGATATTCTTTTAAAAAAATTGCCAAAATACGGTATAAGAGGTACAGCGTTGGAGCTAATTCGAAGTTATCTAACAGAACGGTCACAGTATACGGTAATAAACGGAGTGCAGTCCAGGCTTGAAACTATTGAGTATGGTGTACCGCAGGGACCTATCTTAGGTCCCCTATTATTTCTTCTCTACATAAATGACATCGTTAACCTGCCACAAACACCCGACATTATCATGTACGCAGACGATACAAATGTATTTATTTCTCATTTGAACTTGATAGAACTAGAATTTTTGTCGAATGAGTGGCTAAACAATTTATCACTATGGTTGCGGTCTAATAAACTTCAGCTTAACACTGGTAAAACAAAATATATTCTTTTTAAACCAAAAAATAAACCGGTTAGTTATAACATAAGTATCACATTTGAAGGAACTATTATAGAAAACGTAAGCTCACATAAAGTTCTTGGTGTCTGATTTGATGAAAGTTTGACTTGGTCGCGCCATGTTGAACACCTCTGCTCGAAACTTTGCCAATCCATTGGCATATTACGCAGGCTTAGATTGCTTCTTCCATGTTGGTTAAAACGTCAATTATATTACGCATTGTTATACTCTCACCTAAACTATTGTTTACTTATATGGGGTACAACAGGAACTACGAATTTTAACAGGTTACTTGTTCTACAAAAGAAAGCGATTCGATGCATAGACAATTTAGATTTTTGCGCTCACACCGCTCCTTCTTTCTCCAAACACAAGATTTTTACAATTCAGCAACAATATAACTTCAAATTAGCCTTATTAATTTATAAAGAGATAAAAAACAGCGGGTCCTTGTCTATAGATTTGTATCCAAGGAAAATTACGACATATAATTTACGGCATGAGTTATTCCTCCAGGAGAGAATTCGCACAAATTACGGGTCACAGAAATTGAGCCTTTTGATTCCGGAATATTTAAACAAATTTTCAGAAGTATTAGATTTTATAAATTGCTGTTCTTCTTTGCGGAGCTTTAAAAAGGAAATAAAAGAGTACATTTTTACGCTGTCGGCTTAAATATTGGGCCGCTGCTTCTTGCTCTCCAGATTCATATGATTACTATTTTATGCATTCATTTATGAATCGATTTAAGGCAAATCGTCCCAGTTTGTATCTGGTTTGTTTAGTTTGTGTTTAATTTGTGTTTTGTTTGTGTTTAATTTATGTCAAAACCGTTCCTGTGAAAATATTTTCACCTTGAATTTTATTATGACTTCCACACTGCTGCTGCGACTGCTGTAGCGCCGAAAAGGGGAATGGAGCCTCGTCAGGTAGCTTCGGCAACCTTTTGCTCCCCCCTCCCCGGCATTTCATATGTCAAATAGACTTCAATTCAATTCAATTCAATTCAAGCTCAAATAATTTTCACTACAAGTGACATTGTCTGAGTTTAAAACAAAATCGACTGCAACATAACTCAATGCATCAAAAGGATAGAAGAAGCAGTAATTCGTTTATGGCTTCCCTTTTCCTTTCGATTCGAATTTATACCAACATGCTCCTACACAACATTTGAATTTTACGTTGTTTTCGATCGTTGTGAGTTGCAGTCTTCTTGCCTTGTGTGATCGTCTTTACTAAAAAAATAAAAAAAAAGCTTTCCACAGCAAGATTTTCGCATTGACGCAGCATGATTTGAAAATAATTAAAATAATGTACTTTCAACTTTTGGTGAGCAATTGTCCCTTGCAATATTTTGCCATCAAGGGAAGAGAGGCACGAAGGCGCAGGAGCGACAGATTTCCTGCGAGAACGACGATCGCTTCCCACGATGCTTGGATAGAAAATGGTGTGCCATCGCGATTCACACATTCACCAGCGATCTCCGCGTTTCTCTGTGCCCCGTTGTTCGGCAGCGCCATAAGCTGCGTAGTGAGTTTCAGGAGAATGTGAAATGCGGGACATTTTGAAGATTTGGGAATTTCTTGCGGGACGCGGGACACGAGCCCTTAATGCGGGACAGTCCCGCGAGTCGCGGAACGGGTGGTCACCCTACATATGCAGGCTCGCGAAAGCACTGGTGTGCTTTCGCGGGCCTGCAACTTGGATATTGCGAAGGAACCCTAAAATGATACCGGTTTCACCTTACGCAGTACATATACACAACGACAAATCATTAAATATAAAAATACTATTCGGATGCCTACAAGAGAAAAAAAAAAAAGACAATAATATATAGGACGTTCCGAATGTTAGGAGTTTATTATCTGCGTTTTTCACAGAGGTACCAGAGGTCAACATTTTGGGGTACTTGGTGCATTTTATTTAGTGAACCGTCGCAAGCTTTACCATTAAGCATACAACCATGAACTACACTGCCTGGATGCCTACAAGGCGGCTCCTAGAACATTTACTGAACAGTGAGACATGCCTTTTCACTGGTGATTACAATAAAGATGCCGGGATATCAGGAGTACGCCTGGTCATACTCCACCGGTGCGACGGCTTTCGCAAAGGACGTCTTCAAGGATCTTCACGGCGTCGCAAGCGCAGCCCCAAGAAAGAGTCACGCCCGACCCGCCGTGTCCGTAGTTGTGGATAATCGTCACCTGAAAATTGCAGTCTCTCTTTACGCGAGATACAACATCGGGCGGACATAAATGTCGGGCGATATCAAGTTTGCTAGTGAGATACGTCGGTTAATACACAAGCTGGGGTCTAGATATGGCTATTCGTTAAGCAGTTTCTTTTTAGAGCGCAGCTCTTAGGGGCCCGTTCCCGGCTTGAGCGGCGTCGGCGTCACCAAGGTCACCCCAAGGTCACGTGACCCCCAAGGGCATCCCAAGGTCACCCCAAGGTCACGTGACCCCCCGAGGTCACGAGACCCCTCCCCCGAGATCACGTGACCCCCCTCCTTCAAGGTCACGTGCCCCCCCTCCCCGAAGTCACGTGACCCCCCGTTGAGGTCACGTGACCCCCCGTTGAGGTCACGTGACCCCCCGTTGAGGTCACGTGACCTCCCCGATGACGTCATCGTCACTGATGACGTCACCGGCATCCGCATCGTCATCATCATCATCACTGATGACGTCACCAGTGACGTCACTGATGCCGTCACCGGCATCCTCATCGTCATCGTCATTATCACTGATGACGTCCCCGGCATCCGCATCGTCATCGCCATCATCACTGATGACGTCATCAGTGACGTCACTGATGACGTCACCGAAATCCGCATCGTCATCATCACGGATGACGTCATCATTGACGTCACTGATGACGTCATCGGAATCCGCATCGTCATCGTCACTGGTGACGTCATCAGTAACGTCACTGATGGCATCATCGGCATCGTCACGTGACCCCCAAGGTCACTTGACTCCCCCCCCCCCCCCCCCCCCCAGTACCCTTCCCACCTCTTCCTCAAGAGCTGCGCTCTAATTCGGTGTTACAGGGAGTTGTAAACGGCTTTCACTTTTTTTCAGTGAATCCACCTCCCTATTGTTTTGAGTTCTAATTAGTGTGTTGTCCAAGGTGTGCTTGAGACATCCTACCGGCTTTCTGGTAATTAGGCACATGATTCCTGCGGGAAAATGAATGCCACTTTAACGCTTAACGCTAATGTAAATTTACCAAGAGGAAACTTCTTACGGCTGTAGTATGCTTAACAGTGCTTGGGATTGGGGCAGTTTGTTATTCGTGCTTTGATTAAACTGCGCTGCGAAGGATAACAATTACCTATCCTGATACGAGAAAGACAACGCGACACACAGAAATAGACGCAAACTAACAACCATTTATTTTTCCATCCACATAAAAATGAAAAACTGGAAAGTGAAGAAACAGGAAAGATTAGGGATCACTGAAAAACATAAAAAATCAACAACTTTTGCGATTTCCGCCATTAACACCCATATATATATATATATATATATATAGAGTGTTTTAGGTATATGGATGACTTTCTGTGGTGTTTCCCATTGCCCAATCTCACGGACACTATGACGAAGGGGGCCGTCGGTCGGTTCAAAAAGGCGCGCAAGGAAATGGAGTGCACCTTTGAACTCTTTAACAACGGCTGCCTGCAGTTCCTGGACCCCGACCTGATTTTCGGTGACGTTCACACTCGTTAAATGTATGAGACTCGAGAGAAGACGACTATTCTGCCATACGACTGGGGAGCCCACTAACCTGGTAAAAAGGAGCATCGACACCGCTTACATGCGGCAGGCACTGTGGAAATTGTGCCCCCCACAGAGTGGGCGACAGCTTACTGATACAAATAGTCCGCTTGCACAGTAGCAAGTACCCCGACCAGTTACTGATTGCGGTAGCGGAGAAGTGTTTCAACAGTCTGGAACGTGACGGAACGAAAAAAAAAGGCAGGGAGGCTAACTAGAATCATGTTGTGGCGTTGCCATATGTTCACGGTGTACCTAGACGCTGTTGAAACTTGCTAGCAAACTTTAAACCGAGTCGTGTTATCGGCTCCTTTCAAGCTCAAGGGATTGCGCGAAAAAGTTAACACGTTGACAGAAATAACACAGTGACACGAGCGCAATGTTTGTGCTGAATCCGTCGTATACAATATACCGATATCGCGTGGGAAAGCCTACATTGGGAAAGTAAGATGTCAAAATGATAGGCATCGAGAGCACAAAAACGCTTAAGCTGTCACAAGCCCCAGGCAATTTTGCAGCGCATTGTGCATGATGCAGTTATGAGGCGCAAATACAAAAGAGATTATCATTTTTGGCTGGATCACGGGAAACGCAAAGACACGAAGTGATTGAGTGTTTTTTTATGACGCCATGAACGCGCGGAACGTGTGTCCCCAGTGACAGTTTAATTTTCCTCCCGAAAGGAAATGGAGATACTTAAAAGAACACCGCATCACGGACCTCACGCACGTGCCTCGGTGACAACTGCGTACTCAGGAGCGTTTTTGACCACAGAAAGTGCAAAACAGTTAATTTTTCCTTGATGTTTCTAACAGCTCTCCCTCTTTCTCCTTTGCCTTTCATACTATACTTTCATTCTTTTGTGGAAGGAAAAATAATTAATTGTTAGTTTGCGTCTATTTTGTATGTTAATTGCTTTGCCTTTCTCGTGTTTTGAAATCCTTGGCAGTGCAGTATAATTGAAGTGGTTAGCTATTTGGAAAGTGCGCTTGGCTCAACGTCGCTTCAACTGTACGCCTGAAACTTCGCCCCATGTATTTCAGTGTAAGAGTCACATATAGGAAAATCTTAGGAAGTTTCGAAACAATATTTGACATTTTGTATCTGGTGATTGAAGCATCTCTTAAACCTTACATTAACTTCACTACGTATAAGCTTCTGCCGCTTTATGATACCATATGGTTAAGAGTGGTTTGTTTTTACATTTCTTTACACTGCAAGTGTGCGAGAGTATTAGCATATCACTTAAGCATGTAGGCAAGCATTATCGACCTAAAATAAATTTGATTGTCGAGTTTAGATGTTTGTGTTCCTTACCAGAGGTGCAGTGCCTAGTTCAAGTTACTACTGTGAGCTGAATTTTTTTTTTAATTTTAGTATTAACATGTATGTTTCACATCGCTTGTCATCTTGATATTTGATTTCATCTGGGCACGGGGTAGAACCGTTCTTAATTCTATAACTTTCGACTCAGTTCAATATGAACCTGCACATAACATTTGGGTGCTAAGATTTTCTTACCGTTTTTCCTGTTTCTTCGACGATACGGTCTTCTCTCTCGATCCGTACAGAGGTTCTTCCAGGTCGTAGCCCCACGGTATCGGTGATTATTTCAGCTGTCTGAACAGTCCAATAGAACATCATTCATTATCTTGATATTTTCCACCGGCTTGCACAAAAAAGCATGCCTCACAGTCTGTCAATCCGGATCGCATAAATAGAGTAACGCGTAACCTTTAAGCTTGGCAAGACGTTGACGCAGCGCTCCCATATCTTCTTGTGAGTTTCTTCGTTTGGAATCAAACTGAAGTTTCCAACCTCTGCAGTTGTTCCGAGCACCACTTCATCGATGCTGCAAGTACAAGATGTATTTTGGCTATAACAAGTTATTACTACTATATTTTTTTCATACTAAAGATATAAGGATTCTCCTCAACCGTTTCTTTATAAATTTTACATTGAAATTTACTTAGACAAGTAAAACGAACGTGCGATTTGTTTGAATTTTTTTAATTTGCGAGAAAAATACAACTGTATAAGGTCATGGTTCTTAATCATTGTTAGCTAATATATTTTGCACAAAATATTTGAAATAACAAAAACATTGCTGGAATGCTATTTTCTCTTGGTGTCTTTGCATTAATGTTTCATTGCAACTTTTCCAATAACCTGAGTTTCGTTTTTTTTCTATTTCTTAAAGTAGTGTTCTTAAACTGTTTACTATAAACTGAAGAAACATGCGTAAAGTTTGAAGGCATATCTTGAGAATAGCCATGGTTAAATGATGCATTGTAAGCTTCACCAAAGTTTATAAGCACCCTAGAAGTAAATAGTAGAATACACCACCTTACTTAGGAATGATATAGACGTCGTCATCACCCATGATAGCGTACTTGATCCATGGTGCGCGCACCTATTGAAGAATGCATATTATTTTGCGATGAATATGAACAGCATTCCAACTATTTAAAATAAAAACGCATTACCCTAATTAGATGTCCCCGAACGGGCTGTAATTCAACATCAGGGGTGAGGAACAATGCTCCGACTCCCGTACAATTAAAAATGACGTCATATGTTTGGAAAAGCTGTACAAAAAAGCAAGCAACTCGTTATTTCAAATTCTTTGATTGACTCAGAGCAGAACATAAAGTAACGTTTAAATCTGATAGTCAAGAAATAAAGAGTGGATACGGGCTGTAGTGATTGTCTATTGATAAGAAATAAATATTTAACAAGTTATGTTATCTGTTTGGTTTACGAATTAAATTTATATTCCTGATAACGCCAAACTTGCATTTTCATGCATTTTTATGCATACGCGTATAATTTTGATTTATACAGTGCCCACTTATACTACTCTGTTTATCATCGTCACTGCTTGCTTCGCAACCAACAGAGATCATAATTGGATTTACATAATTTAAATAAAATTTGACTGGTTCCAGAGCATCCATGAGGCAAGCACTTTTCGTCATGCAACCTACATTTGATATTTTCTTCTTTATTATTTCTGTCTGCTTAACTGCATTCTTTAGCGCAAGCCAAAATGAATATTCACATAGCAGATTCCTTAAAAGCTAGAGTTTATTTTAATCAGACAACACAGTATACCGTAAAAAATTATAAATGAAGGAAAAAGTTAATGTCGTACCTCCTCGAGATTCTTTACTTTCTTCTCTATGAAACGACCTCCCCTCTTCAAGAACCTTCGAGGAAAATTTTATTATTATTATTATTCTAGTTTTAATTTTAAATACCAATGCCAAAGTACAACTTTGTTATTTTAATGTGACGGTCAGTCAACTCACCATTTCATAAGGTGTGGCAGAAGTTTCTTGCATTCAATTGTCATTGAGATAATGTAGCTTCCGAACCTGTGGAATATGCGGATCTTAGGGGCACAGCTCTACAATAAGTAGGACGCCAAGGTGTTTAATAGCGACAGCTTCATAGAAGTATGATTAAATAATATTCTGTAGTAACGAAAATGTATTTGCCGTTTTTAGTTTGTGAGTGTCAGTTACATACAAAGAGCATGTTCTATTCCGTGAGTGTAAACCAAACAACAATGAATATTTACAGATGATCCGCAGAAGTCAAGACTGCAAAATCGAATAGATTATCCAATCACAACTACAAGGCTATAAAGTGGTCTTACTTGTAGTTGCTCGGAAAATTCTTCAATTCTTTATCTGTCACGTCTCTGTAGTGCAAAAATGCATCAGCGTGCAGCGGTCTTGGCTGAACATAGATAACGAAGTCGCAATCAACATTTAACAAACTATACATACACACAAGTAAATTTTTTGACTCCCGCAATCCGCACAGAAAAACAGTTCAAGGAACCTTTCTGGGATGATTCGCAAATGAACAGTTCTCACTCAATGCTGTAGTTCAACATATTGTCCTATTTTAGTGTTGGAACGCTGACATATTGATTTAAGTTGTGAATTTCCTTAGTTTTCTCCGTGTCATATTGGGATAATATGCATTAAAAAAAGTGAAAACATGCTGTGCGCGCAGCAAGCTTGTTCGACTTTCCTCCACATCCTCCACAAGATGTACCCGGTGCACTCGCTTTACGATAGCAGTCTATTTTAACACACATACCAGAAGTGCTGTGCCTTGCACTTTTCTTCATTTGGCTACACCTTTCTGCAGCTGTTTAGGCTGGTTCAGGTAGGCACATAAAAAAAGCTTAGTGTAAGAAATATATTATGTCCATAACCTTCCATCTTTTTTTTTCTTGTTTTTTGTTCTTGTTTTGTCATGTCCTCAAGCATTTACAACTTGGACCTAGAAATTTTGAGTTTCCCAATTTTTGATGGATTCTAGTGACTTACCGTCGAATGTTTACTTAGGAGGTATGCAGGCATAAGTGATAGCCCAAGCCTACCAGAATCTTCACGTTTTAGTAGATTGCTGTAGAAGGCAAAGCTGTCTAAACACCACTGCCTGGAACAAACAGAAGAGTACAAATGCACTGCTGAAAATACTGGCCGACTAACATTTCGCAAATCAATTCTAGTCTATATTGTTCAATTCCGCATGCATGGTCTCTATTTTTACCAATGAGGAGCAACGCAAAGCGAAGTAGTAGATACAAAACGTCCCAAAATCTTCAAAAATTAAATTTTTAAATGGTGCCCCTTATGTCATTGAACATAAATATGGACTAACCCTTGATGTAATTTTTACTGCATGGAAATGAAATCCAGAAAGTCAAGGGAATTTCGGTAGTGTTGAGAGGTTCTGCCACCAAATTGGTTTGCCCATAAAATTTTTCGTATCGGTGGTCCCAACGTGACACTTTATTTCTGCTATGAGAGAAATATTTTAATAAATATAGAACTATAAATTTTCTAATCCGGTTAAAATAGTTTTTGGGAAAGTGTCCAATGAACGATTGGGAACATATCGGATCGCGTGAAAAGCTATAAACGAAAAATGTAAGTTGGGTTAGTTCTGATATGTTTGTGGGCCAAACTGTATTTCAGATGTTTTTCTTTTCGGTAAGGTAACGCTCAGCTTCAGCAAAATCCTCCCAAGACAGTAGTTCACACAGAATGCCTACTTAAATATGGCGCAAGGATATTACTTTATATTTTACTTAATCCCCCCCCCCCCCCCCCCCCCCAAAAAAAGGCATATAGTAAACTTGCGTTTTCAATACCTCATTTTTTCCTCTGGAACGCCCTTGATTATGTAAGGTTTGAAGAGGCCTGCCGCGACGTCACCTGTTGTATGTGGGGTGAATTTTTCGGCGATAACGTCGATGCTGGCATCGGGACACATTTCCGAAGCTCTCAGGGCCGTGGTCATGCCAATGATTCCAGCCCCGATAACGGCGACCCTGGGGCCCATTATCAGAGGAAACTAAAATATGAAAATTACAGAGAAAAAGTACATGGTTAGCAATTACTTACTCATAAACAATAGCAGCTAGCAGGGAAAATATAGTAGCACTGGAAACAGAGGCGCGTTGCGAAACATCAAACGTTCTGAAAACTAGAAGAAATATTTGTTTTAATAAAAGCACACACAGATGCGTTTTACGTTTCCCAACGTTCCGTGCTTTTTTCTTTACTTTTTTAAGTTTTTTATTCGAGGAAGGGGTTGGGTGTGCTTAATAACGTAGGGTCACAAAGATTTAGGACGGGTCGGAATTTTTTTTCAATAATTCATGTTATGTTCCTTGAGTGTTGACCTGTCCATTAACGAAACAAACCCTAGTTCCTGTCAATCTAGTAATCTTTGGACTGCCGAAAAATATGATTAGTGTAACCAGAGGACTGTCAGGGACTGGTAATCAAAGTACAAACATTTAACTTGTGGGTCAAAGCCGCTCAACAGAAGACACCCATGACATGGTACGTTCAATGTTGTGCTCTTACGAGTCTTCAACTCAACTCGGAGATAAAGTGTAAGCTGATTAGACCTCATCTAGCTTCCAGAGAAAATGGCGTTCTTCTTTCCAAGGGGTGTCCCAAACTGCTTTTCGCTGTCTAAGGTAGTATTTATTTGAATAATAATACTGTATTAGAAGCAACCATTAAAAAATGTATGTCAATAAAAAAAATCAAGATTTCTTTTGGCCTAAGAGAAGTTGCTGTTGGGCAAATGGAAATTTTTTATTGAACGAATAGAAAACTATGTTTGCCCTAGGGATTCCTAATACACCTATAGGTATATAAATCTATCAAAATCAAACTTTTATTGATCAGCTTGAAATATTAATTGAACCAATAACCCCCTGTCAAAAAGCAATGCATTTTGGCCCGCTTGGTTATCTATCTGGGCAATATAGATGCGCCATACCAATAAATATGGTTACAAAACCAATTTGGTATATCTGTCGAACAACCGAACTGAAAGGTAACTTTTTGCTTTGTATCAAACCAATTCCTTTAGATACATTTATCACACCACTACGATATTACGTCGTAAACATAAATATGTATTAGATTTAATATAGTAAGGGTGCGGTCGAGCTGGTGAATATTAACCACGTTGAATGAACCTGAGACTGGGGCAGAAAGGAACATACAAGTCGAAGGTATATATGTTCATTTCTGCCCCAGTCTCAGGTTTATTCAACAAGTGTATCAGATTGCTTGTAAAAATAAGTTATTGACGAGTCACCCAGTAATGCTAATTAAATTTATGTGATGTATCCAGGTTTACGTGGTATTCAAACGATGTCTGTGTATTTGTGGTGACAAAATATCTATCGAATATCAGAAATATAATATTTTAATTAGGCTTTCAGAATGTACATACTGTAAACGACTTATTTTTCGCGGGCTCAGTATTTCGCGGTTTACGTGAAAGCTGAAGTTTTGGAATAATTAGCGGGTTATAATTTTCGCGACGCGGTAGAATCTCAATATAGATTCCAATGTGTTTACATTTAACCGAAATTGTTCGCGGACCTATTTTTCGCGAATTGTTGGCAATTTGCGAAATTCGCGAAAGTTAGGTCCCCGCGAAAACTAAGTCGTTTACTGTATTTATGTGTATACATCTGGCTAAGTTAATTGTTGATAAATTTATGCACCGTATTTTGTTTAACATTCTGTTGCGCAAAAAGGCTATCAGCACATTATGCTTATGGTTGACCACCAATGGAGTCAACAATGCGCCCAAATCCCCCTATACGAAAAATGGCTTGACTTGAGCACCCTTGAAAATCGCATACCTTTGCTGGGTCACTTCTTAGTCAGCGAGAAAAGGGCAGTAAGAAACGGTCACCCGTTTGACGCCGAAAATCAGCGTAGGGAATGAAGCACGGTTCTCATGGCAGGAGAGGATAGAAGAATATATAGAAAAAGATTTATCTACTGGTTATGAATTACGTTTTGCGGCTATAACGGCTGTAGCATATGTCACATGGACGTGTTCGCTAGGACGCTTCCGCTTTCGATCGCACGTGGAGCTACTGACGTGATGATGCCACAGAAAACATTTTGCGCTGATTTTAGGCACGTGGAGGAAGTTTCTGGCTCAGCCCCGTGTCCTCGTCATTCTAAATACAGAGTGCAACGATCGATGAAGTCAGCTGGTCTGGTGCACTTCCGATCTCAAACTAAAAATATCTATAAAGCAAACCCAAGCTTAATACTTCGCATAAAGTCGATATACGAAGAATAACGCGTGTGTGTCTGCGTCAACCCATCCAGATCTGTTCAGACCTACCTCGCCTCTTTTGCGCGTTTTGTGTTTAGTTTTGGTGTATCAGTTACGTGGTCCCTTGGCCGATGCAACGTTGGGTCTACACAACGTGACGTAGTGTCACGTGACAACACAGTGTCATGTGAGGTGGTGACGCTACGTGTCACCTTCTGGGGTCGTGTGACATCTTGACGTCATCATTACGTCACGTCACGTGACCTAAACTTAGCGGGAAACTTGCTGGGCGTCAAGAGATGCTACTTCAGGAAAGCATTCCTGATAAATTAGGCGGGAAAACTTCACGCTACAATCGCGTTACGCGACTTGGCTGCGTTATTATGTTTTTGTAACAAATATTAGCGGGTTCAAATGTTACAAAATAGGACGCGGTGCGCAAGTTTCTGAAGAAACCTTCAAATTTCATTCCGAGGTGACAGCTCAATCACCGATTACAGCACAGCGTTTCGTGGCTGTGTATTACGTTGTTACTGCCTTATGTGAATAACGTTAGGGGCTATCCAGTCCTGAACTGGAGTATTGACCCCCATGGGAATTGTTCAGAGTAGAAAAAACAGGGAATTGATAGAATCATAAAATATAGTGCAAACAATATTTCTTACGGGTCAGTGTTCGATAAACTAGACATTGAAGAAAAAATGCGCGCGTTAGAAGTATTGTCATTTAATCAGTTTCATAAATATGTGATAATAACAAGTAAGTATTATAGTAGAAGAGGTAAAAAAAAGAAACTTGCGGCGTACAGACAGGTTCAAGGTCCCTAAGATAGAAACAAACTATGAAAAAAAGTTAAAACGACACTATATGTCCCTTCGATGTTCAACAGTTTGCAAGAATCTTTGCTGAACTTATCATCCTTGCGTGCGGTAAAACGAAATGTAAGAGAATGGTGCCTCACGCTCGCGCAATAATAATTAAATAATTACTTGGTGCGTATTCGTTGCCCAAATGCCTACATTGCTGTTGTTTGTTTGTTTTGTTTCTCCAGTGTTCAATGTGTCACGGTATTTTGTTGGCTGCCTGGTCCCACATACAAGCATCTTTGCTTTCGTGGGCCAGCACGCTTACACCTGTATTTTTTCAAAGCTAATAAAGATATTATTATTATTAGGCACTGCTTGAAGCCGTTAAATACAAGTTTAAGAGGGTACTGCAGAACGCACTCAATGTAGAGATTTGACTTGCTGAACGGTAAGAAAAAGCTTGTTTCGGACATCTACCAAATTATTCACCGCTTCATGACGACTTCCAGGATGTCTACAAAACAGCGACGTCCTCTTCTGCCAACGCCACCTTTTGATTAGTCCTAAAACTAATCATCTCGCGATTGTAGAATTGCGAGTATTACGACTACATTTATTGAGATAAAGGACGTGATAAACTCGAGACCCCTCACCTACGTAATATAACAAGCCAGATGAACTAGAAGCCTTAACGCCAGCGTGTTTTTTCATTAAAAAGCGACTAATACCTCGTTGCCATATGCTGTGAGGAGAAACCAAAGTTCATAGGCAGTGTTTCTTCGAGAACACTGGCAGAGAAGACAAGCGCGGTTGGAGGAATTGTGAAAAAATGTGTAATAGCTAGCACGTCCCACAACCAACAAACGTGAGTAAAGCCGCGAACTTGCCATCCTCTACGTTACAACTTGGCAATGTGCTGCTTATCGTTCAGAATGATGAACCATCACATATGTAGTAAATGGGAAACGCCAAAGACGTTTTCTCGTGACCTAAGAACAATGCACGAACTTGCTCTGTAGGCCTGAGCCCACATACAAGATTCGTGGAGTTAAAGATCAAGCGAGTGCTAGCCCAAGGAGGTAAAAAAACACATGCGATGCCTGCGACGATAGGAAAGATGACAGTGCATTCCAAGATATTTTAAATAGACACACCCGGTTGCTCGCAGCATGGCATTATCACCGTTTCTGTCTCAACACCGCTGTAGCAGATCATTTTGTCGCACCCTGTACAACAACTGCATAGGCGAAACACCCGCTAGAGTAAGTTGAAATATTATTTTAATAAATAATATTATAATGAATATATTAATATTAAAAAAATACGTGGCGTGTTAACCCTGTACTGCCCAACGTATCATATGTTTCACAGACGCTTTCAGAAACCAAATGCCGATTGTATCCACCACAAACACATTTCCGGGGCATTTCTCGTAAAATATAGTTTGAGTATTTCGAACTCCGGAGAAATCAGCAGCCCCTAGCGGTTAGAACAGAAAGCTTTGGCGACAGGTTCGCCCTCCAGCCTTCTCGAGCGAATCAGATATTCACAGCGCCTGGCAGTCAAAGAGCGAAGCAGTGAAAGTAGGTTCAAAAACACGTCATGAAAATCGCCAATACACCGCGAGAAGCCCTAAATGGCCCGTACGTGGCCAGCGTGTCAACGGGATCTTTTCACGGACGTACTGCTGAATCAGGAGGTGAGGTTGTTATTTTGACATTCGCTATTCGTCTCTTGGGTACAGTAAACGACCAGTGCACAGTTTTGTCGTTTCATAATTATCAAAAATTAGTGCCATCGGTGAGCGTAATCGAATGTATCATGCAAAATACTATGGGAAGATTTCACTTCTTTCCGAATATTTTAAATATTACATTTTTTCAGCTGAGCGTTTCGTTACCTCCCTCTTTACAAATTGCTCTACACGAGGCA